TTTCATTGTGCCTTTTGGGGCATCAGGTGGCAGTCCTGAATGCGAAGGAGTCCAGAAAGGCCGGACACGCTTTAAGAGGGACATCTTAAAGGTACAGGAACAGGCAGTCCCCATGTGCTGAGACACGAGCCAGTGGGGAAGAAGACTGGCCTGGCTGAACAGAGAGCTTTGGCTGGAACTCAGGGAGAAAAAAGAGAGTTTATCACCTCCGTAAAAAGGGGCAGGCAACTTAGGAGGACTACAAGGATGTTGTGAGGTCATAAAGGGAGAACATTAGAAGTGCAAAAGCCCAGCTAAAACTTAATCTGGCCACTGCTGTAAAAGACAACAAAAAGGGTTTCTACAAATGCATCATCAACAAAAGGAGGGCCAAGGAGAATCTCCATCCTTTGTTGTATGGGGGAGGGAAACACAGTAACAAAAGATGAGGAAAAAGCTGAGGTACTTAATGCCTTCTTTACCTCAGTCTTAAATAGCAAGATCAGTTGTCCTCAAGGTACCCAGCTCTCTGAGCTGGAAGACATAGGGAGGGAGCAGAATGAAGTCCCCATAATCCAGGAGGGAATGGTCAGTGACCTGCTATGCCACTTAGACACCCACAAGTCCATGGAGCCAGATGGGATCCACTCAAGGGTATTGAGGGAGTTGGCAGAAGAACTCAGCAAACCACTTTCAATCATTTAGTCAATCATTCAGTCCTGGTCAACCAGGGAGGTCCCAGGTGACTGGAAATTGGCAAATGTGATGTCCATCTATAAGAAGGTTTGTAAGGAGGATCCAGGGAAGTACAGGCCTGTCACCCTGACCTTGGTGCCAGGGAAGGTCATGGAGCTGATCATCTGGAGTGCCATCACACAGCATGTGCAGAACAACCATGGGATGAGGCCCAACCAGCATGGGTTTATGGAAGGCAGGTCCTGCTTGACAAACCCAATCTCTTTCTATGACAAGGTGACCTACCTAGTGGATGAGGGAAAGGTTGTGGATGTTGTCTACCTGGACTTCAGTAAAGCCTTTGACACCATTTCCCACAGCAGTCTCCTGAAGAAATTGTCTGCTCATGTTGTGGATGGGTGTACTCTCAGCTGAGTTAAAAACACTTTCTGGGCCCAGATGGCCAGACTCAGAGAATGGTGGTGAGTGGAGTTTCATCCAGATGGTGGCCAATCACAAGTGGTATTCCCTATGGTTCAGTATTGGGGACAGCCTTGTTGAATATCTTCATTGATGGGTCCTGCACTTGAGTCACAACAACCCCCTGCAGCGCTACAGGCTTGGGGAAGAGTGGCTGGAAAGCATCTCAGCAGAAAAGGATCTGGGGGTACTGGTCAACAGTGGCTGAAAGTGAGCCATCAGTGTGCCCAGGTGGCCAAGAAGGCCAATGGCATCCTACCTTGTATCAGCAATAGTGTGGCCAGCAGGACCAAGGAAGTGATTGTGCCCTGTGCTGGGCACTGGTGAGGCTGCACCTTGAATCCTGGGTTCAATTTTGGGCTCCTCACTACAAGAAAGACATTGAGGTGCTGAAGCATGTCCAGAGAAGGTCAATGAAGCTGATGAAGGGCCTGGAGCACAAGTCTGATGAGGAGTGGCTGAGGGAGCTTGGGGGGCTGTTTAGCCTGGAGAAAAGGAGGTTGAGGGGTAACCCTATCCCCCTCTACAACTACCTGAAAGGAGGTTGTAGCCAGGTGGGGGTCGGCCTGTTCCCCTAGGTAACAAGTGACAGGATGAGAGGAAACGGCCTCAAGTTGCACCAGGGGAGGTTTAGATTTGATATTACCTAAAATTTCTTCATGGAAAGGGTTGTCAGGCATTAGAACAGACTGGCCAGGGAAGTGATGGAGTCACCATCCCTGGAAGTGTCCCAAAAACATGTTGATATGGCATTGGAGGACACAGTTTAGTGGTGAACATGGTGGTGGTGCTGGGTTGCCAGTTAGACTTTATGATCTTAGAGCTCTTTTCCAACCTTAACAATTCTATGATTCTATGAAATCAAGTTAAATGCACAAAGAATTACTGTTTGAAAGAAATGTTATTTGTACTAGAAGAACACTTTGTGTTAAACATGATAAGCCTCTGTATATTAAGACTTCAGGACAGAAATTAGCCACCAGAGGGACCTGTATAATCTGATATAAAGGACTGTACAAAGACAAATTGCAGATATGCAAATGAGAGTTTATGTAATTGCCTATATATAGAAACCTTTATTGTAAATTATTTATAATCTATGAAATAAACCAGCCTTCCTCATTACTTCCTTTCATATTCATTCTTATTTTTACAGATATAAATAAAAGTAAGTAAACTGCTATAAACTACTATAACTATAGCTAAAATATACAGAAAAAAAAGTAAAATACTTTGTTATACATTATCCTTTAAGTTTTTTTTGGTCTCAGAATTCAGTATTTCAGTATTAGCAGCCCACCAGCTAATTCAGCATATTAGCCCACAAATAACACATAAAGGAGAAGGCCTATATAGCCCCGGGGATTTTTGAAGTATTTCCTTCAAATAGATTTAGGACTGGAATCTTAAGAAACAGTGACAGCCATAAGACGTTCTTTGAATATTTGTCCTGTATGCTAAGTCAGTATCATTTTTATATGCTAAATACTTAGATTTATCCAAAAAGCCATTTCCTTCTCTACTGTCATTAGTAAATTCACACCACAGATAAACTTCTAATATTTGCACCATGAATTAATGACATTTCTATTCAGAACAGTTCTCAATAGCAGAAAAGTATTTTTCCTTCTAACACTGGATTTCATTCTTAGAAGACTGATACCTCACTTTGCTTTCCAAATCTTTGTAATTGTCAAAGATATATGATTTTAAAAAATAAAATTAATATAATGGAAGCAGTAACAATCATTAAGATCACTAGTAGTCTGTTTCTAGTCTCCTATTTTTGACACTTCAGAATTTACTGCTGAATTTCTCTATGCCTTCCTCTGTGTAGTGGTTTTGAGTCCAGGTCTTCCTTGGTAACCAGGTTGTAACCAAGGAACCAAGGTCACGTTCCCAGTATTCCATACGATTTTTACGTAAGCAAGGGTATAAACAAGAAGGGAGAGGAAGCTCTTGCTCTTTTTCTTCTGGTGGACTGAAAGCAAAGGTTCTCTGCTATCATTCTGCACGGGTGAAGGAATGAGGCCTAGTGGGCCTGGTTGGCTTTGAGAAACAGAGAGTGCCGGTGGTTGTTGATACGGTTCTCTGCTATCTCAAGGAAAATATTTGTTTTTTGTCCCTTTTTCTCTTTTTTCCCTTTCCCTTTCTTTTTCCCTCCTGGGGGGTTCCCTGTGGGTGATATCTTGTATATAATTTTATTTATATATATAAATGTGTGTTACTTGGAATTCGGTTTGGTTTGGGTTCTTTTGATTTTGTATAGTCTTTTTGGTTTGTCCGAAGAGAGGGAAAGGGAGGGGGGAAGGTTTTTTTCCTGTGGTCCAGGCACTTGGCTGGGAGCCAAGTCCAACCTTGGACACTCTGCACCATGACTGGTTTACAAATTTGATATCAATACAATAATTTCACTCTGTTAAAGAAAATTCAAGGTACATACATTTCCACTCTAAAAATATAATCTTTCCTTAAAATATTTTGCTGTTCGAATAGTTGCATATTTGAAGAAATTAAATTTACTATAATAAAAATTTTTATTTGACCCCAAGAAATACAATTGGGATTTGAAGAACTCTGTAAAGCAGCAAATAAGCACACAGTGTATATAACTTCTGCCACTAAATTAGAAAGTGTTATTTTTCTTCTAATTACCATATTGTCTAGCAAAACCCCCACACTAATAATGTAGATGACCTGAAGTGCACAGTACTCTAGGATACATTAGTAAGGGTTTTTGTAACCCAGGGAGTCAGGATCCTAGATGCAACATGGAGATCCTTAGCCATGGCATCTCGGCAATAGCTAATCAAAGTATGAACACTGAATTTTCATGTGTCTTTACCCTGACTTCAGATCAACTGAACTCGAACGCCTGAAATTCATACTTTTTCTTTCTTACTCTTTATTGAAAAACTGTAAAATATACAAGAAACATTTGAAAATTATTCCATGTACAATCTTAGCCCACTCTTGTATCAGCATTAGTGGATCACAATATGAAACAATGTTATATTAAAAACACCTTACAGAGGCATTGTATGACACCTAGTAACCATATTAAACAATTTAATATAAATTCTCAAGATCTACTCTGCTATGTACATCCTTGCTCTGAAGAAAACTTTGTGCTTCTTTACTAAAAGGCAAAGATGCTAGTCAGAACTCTCATTGCTCAAACAAAAACGGTACTGCTGAATTCCTGTACTCACACACCTAGTGACCAAGTACTCGTGCCCAAATATTAAAATGAACTTTATATTTTTCCTATAATGTTAAATACACAGTACTGTTAGACTGTCTTTTTATGTCAGCCCAGGAACATCTTATACACCACATCCAACAAGCAGTACTTTCAGAAAGTACTATTGAATTTGCTGCTTATTAAGGGAAACAATCTACATGAATTTTGACAAGGACAAGTGCAAGGTCCTGTGCCTGGGTGGGTGCAATCCCAAGAACAAGTATAGGCTGGATGGAGAATGGATTGAGCAGCCCTGGGGAGAAGGACTTGAAGGTGTTGGTTGAGGAAAAGCTTGACATGCCCCAGCAGTGTGCACTCGCAGCCCAGAAACCATGTCCTGGGCTGCTGCACTGAAAGTAGTGTGGCCAGCAGGTTGAGAGAGAGGTAACTAAATGATCTTTAAGGTCCCTTCCAACTCAAGCCATTTTAAGGATTCTATGAAATTGTGTTGTTAAAATTGCAATAATCACTTAATGTCAAAAGTAATTAATTTTAAGAATTTGAAATTGTAAGTACATTACCACTTTAAAACATTAACAAATAGGTTTTGATCTTTTATTAGGAGTGGAAATCTACATTTTTTATATTAATATTTCCTACACACTTATTTTTTATCTCTTACCAGGTCTTTCCTTGCCAGTTCCTTTTGACTCAGCAAATTTCTGTATTAAACTCTTAACCGTAGTATTTGTCATGTTATCAATAAACTCTTCGTGTACCTGCAAAAAAAAAAAAAAAAGACAAGACACCACACAAAAGGAATTTCAAAACCAGTAATTGAAAGAATGTAATTAACTTTAAAAAGTGGTTTTCTCTAGAGTTAGGGTTCAAAATACTTGCCTCTAAAATATATTACAGGGCTTCCAAAAATCTACAGGTATTTTATCAAGGAAATCACTTCTTTGCTTTAGTGTGTAAGATGTAAATGTGTGTAAGATACAGATACAAATGAGGAATAAAAGAATACAGCTTGATGATGGGTCTAAGATTTACTTCCATTTCTTCTACCTAAACTACCTTTGAGGTCCATAATTTTCTGAATTTGTCAGCAATGTCCCACTACAATGTCAGGAAGACAAGCAGTCTCTTAAGCCAGCACCACTTAACAGTGTAAACTATTACCCCCGTGTTCTCACAATTCCCACCTGCTTGAGTAAAAACATTGTTGTAATGTTTTTTAGTCTGACAAATGAACAACCACATGTTGTTAATAAGGTTTTCCAACAAGGCAGTATGTATATGCTTTAGAAATAAATAGCATGACCTTTGTGACCACCATTCATTAGCAGAAAACCTCAAAACTGAGGAAAACAGTGACTGAAATTAAGTATATACAAATAAAACTACATTTCAGAAAATCAAAAATTAAGGACTATTTATAAGGATTATTAATTAAACCAACTTGCATCTAGAGAAAATACAGTATAAAAGCTTCTTTCGGTACTGTTACTGAAGGTCTTTTGCTCATAAAAACTGAAGTATATAAAAAATTTGGAAGTTTTCAGACTGATATAATTTCAACTTTTAGTCAAAGAAAAACACAAGTATCCTGAAATGTGTGAAATAGGTGCTAATTAATATCTATGGAACAAAATTCCAAATTGTCAAAATACATAATTTTTTTTGTTAACACAAAATGTAATGATTATTCAGCCTTATTCTGTAAAATTTGTGATATTGAACTTATAAATACACCAGGAAGCAATAAAAGATTCAGGTTATGTTTAATTTAGATATAAAAAGATTTGCAATACAATGAACAAAATTAGAGGATAAAAAATTTCAGAGAAGTTTGAATAACAAAAGAGAATACACATATAGAAACATCACAAAAGACCAAAGCAGCAATTTAATAGATGTTTAAATCTCCTTCAAACATCTCATAAACAAGTTCAATACTCGCATAACGTTTGATATCTGTGGTAAAAAGAACCATATCTGCTTGAAAATCTTTTGAATTCTGTAGATAATTTTTGTTTATCTCCTTCTACTCATACTAGTTTTAAAATCTACCATCATTTGAAAGATGTGATCAGTAAGAAATGTTTCCTTTAATAGTTAAGAAAAATATGTAGCATGGTTCAAACAAATGATAATATAAAAATTACCTCTCCTATTTGCAAATTAATTTCTTTTATGGTATTTGACAATGATTCTATAATCTCTTTCATATGAAGAAGGTGTGTTTCTTCAATGTCTTGAAATTTCTGTAAACCAATACAAACAATTATTCATAATGAAAAGAATTCTTGAAATTATAAACCTTACATTTTAAGAAATATACTAAACAGAAAACCACATTTTTTTTTTTAGATTTTCATTGTGGTAATTACAGTGCTTAAGAAAGGAAGGTGCAGAATTCACAGTTATGAAATAATGTACTTTATAATAACCTTTTAGAAACATTATCCAATTTTTTTAATTACTCTTTAAACATTCACCTATTTTGATATTTTTAAAGTCTGACCTATTTCTATCAAAATAAAATAGGATTGAAGGATGTTTACAAAAATAAAACCAACACAACTTTTTTTACATAACTGAAGATTTTTGGTTTTTTGTCTAACCCCAGAAATTTCTGGATCTGTTTTGCAACTCCTCTTTATCATCCTCTTTTCCTGCTCACAATATACACATACTTTAGGTTTCTTCCGTTAAATCTATATCCTTTGCTTCTTTAAATGCAATTCATTTGTTTGATCTTTAAACTCACGGTATAAAAGCTTTGCAGTTTGTCTGGAATTTGCCCTCCTCTTCAATCTTACTCAGGCTTCCACCTGACACCCATTTTAAAACCATTTCCAATGTCTCTAATAATCCCTTCCTAGCCAAAGATCAGAATTAAAAATGTCATCTTTCCCAACAGTCTACCACAATCATCTTGAAATCCATGTTTACTCCTGCTCTGTCCTAGTTCTCTTCCTACTTCTGTAACTGTCCAAGCTTTGAAGCACCACTTAATCTTTGTTCCAACTTTTTTTCTTCAAGTGGTCATCCTCTGTAGCCTATTCTGTGATGTTACTTATTTTACTGACTGCTTGATTACATAAACTGTATCATTTTACTTTCAAAGCTATCTATGGTCCATCTCTATAATATCTGCTCTCAATCACTAAAAGGGTGTCAACATCTGTACACAATGTGATCTTCCAGCTGATTTTCACTACTGTCCTGATTTTGTCTGGGATAGAGTTCATTTCTTCTCAGTAGCTGGTACAGTGCTGTGTTTTGGAATCAGTATGAGAATAATGCTGATAACACACTGATGTTTTGGTTGTTGCTGAGCAGTGCTTACCCTGAGTTGAGGGCTTTTCAGTGTCTCATGCTTTGCCAGTGCAGCTGCACAAGAAGCCATGAGGAAGCACAGACGGGACAGCTGACAGAAACTGGCCAAAGGGATATAACAATAATAATAATATGGTATGGAATATTTTACTTTTTTCAATTATTAAACTGTTCTTATGTCAACCCAGGTTTTACCTTTTTCCGATTCTCCTCCACATCCCACTGGAGCGGGAGAAGTGAATGAACAGCTGCATGGTACTTAGTTGCTGGCTGGAGTTAAACCACAACAACTATCTAATTTTTACCTAAACTCAAAGTCAAATGTTGAGATTTTGCCAATGCCACTTCCTTCGTGTTTGGCTTGAACTCCACATAAAACTCTGCAAAATATTCTCCTTTAAACTCTTCTCTATAGTGTATATCAAAACAGCCAGCCATTCAGAGATTTAAATTTTTTGGTCTCTTATGTCAGTGGATGGTAACCCTCTCTTCTCAAATTTTTCCTTATTTAACGTTTATTGTTTTATACTTAGGATTTTAAGTCTTTGAAGTAGAAACCATCTTGGCCTTGCACAGTACATAACACAAAGGGGTCTGACCAAAGACTAAAACTATCTAGGTACTATAATACAACCAGCTATAATCATTTACCAAATTGTTTACTTTCACTTTTGAAAGATCAGTCCATTTTGAAAAGATGTACTGAAACGAATCTGTAATGTTAATGACCTAATAAATGCAAGCATTTTAAGCTATAATAAAATTTAAAAACATCAACAAGATCTTCATGTATTCAACTCAGCATACACAGTGTAAGTAGGCATTATTCCTTTTTATAAACATGTACATTTTCCTTAAAGTTTTAAAATGTAAAGAATTATTACTCATTCTTGAACTTTATTTATATAAAAACTGCTCAACAGCAAAGTTATCCAATCAACTGCACTCAGTTCTAGTTAAGACAGGACTTCTAAAGAGTAGCTTAGCACTTTCAGCTATTTGATTCATTCCAAAAACTGATTGCACTATGGGATTATAAAAAAGCTTCTAAAAAGGTGAAATAACTGATGAATTAGATGTTTTCTTAACAAGTGCATAGCAATTGTATAATACAACTATAGTTTTATTCAGAAAATCTTTCTACATGAAGAATTTCTGTCAAATCCAATATCTGAATAAAAAAGTGAATTATATTTTCCTATGTCTTTAATAATAAAAATCCTTCTGTGATTATTGTAGAAAAAAACCACATAACTTGCAATTTAATATTAGGAAGATCATGTTTTTAATTTCAACCTCTCAAAATAATATATCACAAATTATGTCACTTTGATAATAGCAGGTAATATAATAGATTGGAAAAAAGGAAGAAAATGTAAAATTTATATAACAATATTGGTGGAGTTTAAGAAAAGAGGGCAGTTCAATGAGGACATTGCTACATGATTACCTAGAATATAGCCCCAGAAATTCAAGGTGTTTGCATCCTCAGAAAAATTTTATCTGAATGGTCTAAAACAGATTTAAGTTAAGCCAACTGGTTTTGCACTGAAACAGCTGAGAATGCTAACACTGCTAATTTATTTTGTGTTCAGAATTAGTATACTTTAGGTGAAATGTACTGCAAATTAAGATAATCTAGGGTGTGATTGATTGGGGCGGGTTGCTAGCAAGGGTCCTCTGCCACTGACTCCGAGATGTACTGGCCACACTGGAGAACACTTAAAGTCTTATAGAGACAAGCCAGGGACTCCTGAGGTAACAGAAGCCAACAGGGAAACACCAGGGAAATATCTCAAAGGAATTAAGGTATGTTCCTCTAGGAAGACAACACAGCTGACAGCCCAGCTGAGGTGCCTTTGCACCAATGCACAGGGCATGAGCAACAAACAGGAGTTGGAAACCATGTGCTGTTAGGAAGATATGACCTTGTGGCCAATACTGAAACTTGTTGGGACAAATCCCATGACTGGAGTGTGACTATGGATGGCTACAGGCTGTTCAGAAGAGACAGAAGAGGAAGGAGAGGTGGAGAGCTTGCCTTTTACATCAAGAGATGGATTGAGTGCGAAGAGTTGCTCTGAAGAAGAGTGAAAAGGGTGAAAAGCCTGTGGGTAACACTGTCCTAGTTACAGGAGCCAGGGCCAGTTTATCACTACGTGGGTATAACCAAAACCGTGTATTCCACACCCTCTATGTAATTTATGATGGACTGTTAATAATAGATCATTTACAGCAGCTGCCCAGGGCACACCTAATGACTCAGCTGTGATAACTCCCCTCTAGGGAGGAATTAGCACCTTCACACCCAGCCTGAGGGGTCATCTCTGCTAATGGGCCATACTGGACTGGCATAAAAGTCAGCTGCAACCACCTAGACCATCAAAGACTCCAAAAATATCCCATGACTCACAGAGTTAAATCACCCTTTGTGAAACTCCCTGCCCTGGGGGAGGTACTGGACATTCCCACCTGAATGTGAGCATATCTAATCTGTGGCTTTTGGGACTTCTGGTACCACTCATCAGATCGAGAGGACCAGAACTTCAACAGGACTGAAACTGCCACTCTCAACAAGGTTGTGATCATTACTTCGAAAGAACTGCGACCATCATCCTGACCAAGAGGTTTTCCTTTCCTCTTACTTTGCACCCAGGGGGGCCACGTGGTGCTCAGCACAGAGGCCAACGAACACTGTTCTGTTCTTGTCCCAGGGGGCTGGGTTATATATCTGTTTTTGTAGGTTAAAACCAGCTTTTCTCTGTATCGTTGCATCTATTGTAGTTTATTTTTAGTACATTGTAACTCTGACTTATAATGTCTCTAGAGTTGGGTTCATTTCTCCTGCTGGTTTACTTTTAAACCAGCACAAAGAGTCAGAGACTGAGGCAACAAAGTGAACCTTGTGACTGGTGTCTACCACAGGCCACCTGACTAAGTGGAACCTATTGACAAAACCTTCTTGCTCCAGATACATGAGGCATCCTGCTCACAGGTTTTTTTCCTGCTGGGGGACTTCAACCACCCCAACATCTGCTAGGAAAGTAGCACAGTGAGCTGTAGGCAATTCAGGAGACTCCTGGAATGCATGAAGGATAACTTCTTGGGTCAGATAATAAGACAACCCTGCCAGAGGGGATGAGATACTGGATCTGGTGGTCAGCAACGTACGTGAGTTAATCAGGGGCATCAAGATTGGAGGCAACCTGGGCTCCAGCGATCATGCACTGGTGGAGTTTGCAGTCCTAAGGAATATGGGTCAGGTAAGGAGTAAAGTTAGGCCCCTGAACTTTAGGAAAGCAAATTTCCAGCTCTTCAAGGAGACAGTCAATAGGATCCCCCAGGAGACTGCCCTCAGGGACAAGCAAGTGGAACAGACCTGGCAGATCTTTAAAAAAGTCTTCTATAGAGTGCAAGAGCTAGTGATCCCCAGGAACAAGAAATCAGGCAAGAGACTGGCATGGCTGAGTAGGCAACTACTCGTCAAACTAAAGTGCAAGAAGCAAATGCACAGGCAGTGGAAAAAAGGACAGGTAGCCTGGGAAGAGTATAGAGATGAAGTATGGCTGTGTAGGGATGGGGTGAGGAAGGCCAAGGCAAAGCTGGAACTGAACCTGGAAGGGACACAAAGAATAACAGGAAGGGTTTCTACAGCAATGTCAACCAGAAAAAGAAGGTCAAAGAAGGAGTACCCCCTGCCATTAACAATGACGGAAAACTGGTAACAACAAATGAAGAGAAGGCTGAGGTACTCAACAACTTTTTTGCCTCAGTTTTCTGTCGGAGGATGCAGCAAGGCCACGGTGCCTAGCACTGTGGAAAAGAATGTAAATAAGAGGTGAACATCCAATCATATGTGAAGGCTAGTGGTAAATTATAGATAACAGAGCTAAGAATAGTGTTAGTATGTAAGATTCTACAGAAGACGGTGTGTGAGTGCAGCTGTGTGAAGAACAAGATGTAATATACTGGACGAAGAGAATAAAAGCTGAATTTAGGCCATCATCATAGAATGCCCAGTTTTATTTACTTGGTCGTCCTCACAAACAAAGACAAATGGTGACCCTGAGTGTTACGAGCCAGGAGGGTTCACGACAAATGGTGACCTCCAAGTGTTACAGACCACGAGGGACCATGACACAATACCGACGAGACCCTAAAAAAGGGACCAAATTGGACTTGATCCCCATCGAGGGATTGAAGCCACTCACTTAAGGAAGGCTTTGAAACATAAAAGGTTAAAACAAAATTGTAAAAAACCTTAACATTAGGAAATTAGGAAAGAAGGAGTCATAAATTGTCTTGAGGAACAGAACATATTGACTAGATAGAGCAGTCCTTGAGAGATAGCAGCATTCCTCACAGAGATAGCAACTCAGCAAATCCTAGGATGAGCCAAAAGTCAGCCTAACCCTATTATGTTTGCCAAAAACTGCCTTAAAAGGAGAAGATCTAAAGAAAGTTCAGAAGTTTACAGTGAGGAAGACTCACACACGACCCCCGCCCAGAGGAAGGCAACAGGAACCCCCACCGTGAAATCTCCCCAAATTGAAGACTCCGCCCAGACTCCGCCTATATATGAATATTACAAGTAGATGTTGCAATTTAATGAATATGCATGATTGTGTTGTAATCCTATACTCAAAAACTGTATAAAAGAGCTATGCTGATTGTACATGACAGAGCTTTATGGCCAGGGAGACCTGGAAGCTCTCCAATGCGTTGCAGTAAAATACCTCCTGCTTTAAAGAAACAAACTTTGTCTCTAAAGCAGTTTCTCCGTGCCTTTTGGGGCAAAATCCGGCATCATTTTTGGCACCCCAGATGGGACGTTTTAGTCCTCCTGAGCCGGGGCCTGGGGGTCTAGGGACCCTC